CTAATCGAGCGATAGTCTCTTCAATATCACGGATATCAGAAGCAACACGTTTGATTTTAGCATATGCTTTAGAGTGTCGCTTCCTTAAAGTTGATATACGGGCTATTTTATCAGATAGTTCCTTGCGAAGATTCCCTGGGTGATGCGCTCTCGAGATTATCGCCAAGGAAAGAGCCGGCTCCACTTCAGAATCTAAATTGGCGCGCTGTAACTCCCTGAAAGCTGTCAATTCTGCCATCAAAAGAGTGATCCCACCCTGGCAGTGCTCAGTCCAGGATGCATCCCCTTTGGCCTTGATGTCGTCCAAACATTGGCTCAAGATGGATTTACAGTCTTCAAGAGAAGCCCCCTCAACACTGATCATACCAATAATTGTTTGCATCCAACGTTCCAGTTCATCAATTGATTTCTTCAGAGCTCCTGAGCGTGGAGGAGGAAGAGTTGGATAGATTGGATCCGTATGATCATCCTGAACAGGTGTTGGAGCAACTTCAGAAGAAGGACCCTCTCCAGCCCTATCGTCTTCAGGAACTGAGGGGATCGATTGGAACATTTCGCCCTCTCCGTCAGTAAAACGCTCAACGAGCGCAGACTTCATCGCATCCCCCATTAATTTGGCCCTCTTGGAATTCTTGGCCATGGCAGGTATCCGCTTACGAATTCTCCTGTCATACTCACCTTGCTCAGCAGCAGAAAGAGCCTTCTTACCCGACCTTAAAGAACGAGGTTTAGGAGCAGGCTCTTCTGCAGGAATCTCCTCAGTTGTCTTATCTGTCTTTTCTTCAGGAGAATCATCAATTGGCTTTCCCTCTTCAATTCCCGTAGGAACCTCTTCTTCAGAAGGTTCTACGGTAGACAAGTCCTTAGGAGCTTCAACGGCTCCGATCGCTTCCTGTTCACAAGATAGGTACTCTTCCATCCCTGGCAGACGAGTACTCGCAGAACCACTCCGTGAACGGTACAATTCCCGAATCTCGTTTATACATGAAGTATAAACGTCATATTCCGGAATCCGAGAAGCTTCAACAAACCACTGGCGGAAATCCATAACAACAGAGCAGCCAGGTGGTGAATGGGGTAAAGTGAATTGCGCATGGGTTCCCCCGGCGGAGAAGAAGTACCATGCGCGAGCTCCTTCGTACAAATTCCCAATCTGAGCTAACGCCGGGTTAGGATTGCTAACATAGAGTTGGTCGTATCCAAACTGTCTGGCGAACCGAGAAGGCATGTAAGGCTCAATTACGCACTTCTCCCGCGAGCGATAGACCAGGTAGCCCAACCTGATCATGAGAAACCAGCTGAATGTACCCTCTTCCAAAGAAGATGAGCCCTCAAAAAGCAAGTCCATGAAACGGGCATCCTTCACATCAGCTCCGTCAAAGTTAGGAACGCAGCAGAAAACCCGGTAATTATCTTCCCGGGATAGAAGCTGTCGAGCCCTGACTATATAGGAACTAGTCCACGTGGCCGACTCCAGTCTCTGTACGAAGGGAGTATAAGCATCAACCCCCTCAGGCGCCCCTATCATCAAAGAAGGGCAATGCAACACGAACCAGGCCACTAAATATGTATATGGCATTGGTACACGTGGTTGAGGAGCATTCCCAGCTTTCTTCTTAGTAGCTTTGACTCCCGCAGCACTGAGAAGCTCTGAAGTCAATACCCTCAGGCCATTCTGGATACAGCCAACCATAGCAGTAAGGAGACTCACAGGCCTCCCATGCGCTAGCAAAACAGCTGGATACACAACCTCAGCTAATATTGATTCTATTGGTCTTGACGGTACCACACACCGCTTCAACCAAATCATGAAGAAGCCTGCAAGTAGAGCCGTGTTAGAAATAGGAACTGTGGCTTGGTAGTGGAAACTTTCAAATTCGACGCCAGCTTCAAAATCATCCTCGGCATGCTCGGTCTTATAAGTAACACCAGGAGCCTTAATCCGAGCCTTGGCGTCCTTAAGTGAGACAACTGCGACACGGGATACGGCCACATCTTTCCGATTTAAGTTTTGGAAGAGGTAGTCTACCCAGGTAGTATGCATAATGCCCCCTCCACGCATCCCAAAGACTTGGGCGCATATGTGGAAGTGGCACATCAATTCCCAGAAAGTAGCGTAAATTTCCGGGTACACCACCTTCAGTAAGGAAAGCTCCTCCGTGGTGGGGATAAACTCCTCGTAGGGCGTTTTTCCAAGCGACAGCCCCGACACTGCCTGCATTTCATGAAGAGCAAAACCTAACTCTCCAGCAGGCGTGAAGAATGTGCAGCTGTCAGGGTTATATTTCTCCAACATAGGGAAGAAATTGTGAAGACTCTGCATGACTCCCCATCGTGTAGCTAACACAGGAACTGTAAGACCCGATTGAGCGAGAGAGTCCTTAAGCTCCTCAAGAACAAAGTCGACCATGCGGGTCCACCAACCTCCTTCGCCAGAACAGACCCATCCAGGGGACCTAAACGTCTGGGTAGAGAATTCACCCTGAGTTGCAAGGAATTGACGAATAAAGATGTTCGCTGGACGTGGCATCTCCTGAACCAGCTCCTTCTTCTCAAACAAACCAGGTCTTAACCCCTTGAGTTGTCCTCCGATTTGTGTACGAGCTCGCCGACCAAATCCAAGTGACACATTCTCTTTCTCTTTGACAATGTCGAAGGTCAAACCCCGACGGCAACTCACATTCAAGAAATAGGAGAGCGGGTACATCATCTTCATGCTTGGGAGGAATAAAAGGCGACTATCAACTCTTCGCAACAGCTTTGAATCTTCCACATATGTAAGATGATCATCGCCTGGTATGTGATCTCCAAATATGAATGTTGGTTTAGGAAACTGGGCATGACCGACAGGGGTCTCCAAGTCTAAGTCAGTTATCAGAATCTTGAGGGTAGAGCATTAGGGGAATTTAATCATTTCCGCTCTTTCCGAATCAAGATAAGTACACAATGGAATTTGGTTCTGAAGACTAAATATTTCATTCGCGTCAGGTCCCCCGATGTACCCAAAATGATGCTCTTGTGAAAGTGGCACGTTTGGGAGAAGTACTGCACAATCAAAAGCAGAAGTTAGCGGCGAGCTATCAACATAAAGGCATAGCCTGAAACATAAAGGGTTAAAGGCTCATATCGAAATCTCCAACGCGAAGGTCGAACCTCGCGTCAGAAATCTCCAACGCGAAGGTCGAACCTCGCGTCAGAAATCTCCAACGCGAAGGTCGAACCTCGCGTCAGAAATCTCCAACGCGAAGGTCGAACCTCGCGTCAGAAGCCTCAAACGCGAAGGTCAACCTCGCGTTGAAAAACTTGAACGCGAGGGTCGAGACCCACATGGGGTCCCAACCCCGCGTTTTCATTGAGTTAAAACGAGTCATCTTCCTCGTTATCAAGAATCCATCTAGGGTTTTCAGAGAACTTGCCAAGGCAAGTTATTTCGGGTGGCACTCACCACGACAGGGAAGCCCCCGCAGCAGCGGTGACGACGACGATGTCCCCACATGAACAAGAGCGCCGTCGGCGTCCTCAGCCGACGGCACTTCGGAAGTCGCTCCGGCGACTTTCTTGGAGTTCGAACCTCTTCTCCGAGGCGCCATTGATGCAGTCGGTCGGAGGAAATTACTTTGAATGAGGAGACGAAGCTCGTCGGAGATCTCACCAAAATCAAACGAGAATTCTCGTTCTTGGAAATAGCCGAAAGTTTTGAAAGTCAAATGACTTTTGACGTGACCACTCAGGTCTATTTATAACAGCCGCCAAGCTGTTAAGATGGCACAGGATTCTAGGAATGAATCCCAACCATCTTTCAAAACGCGAAGCTCACATCCGCGTTCAAATTTCCCAAATGCAAAGCCCAAGCCAACGTCACAAGGCCTGAGCCTCGCGTTTCAAATATTAAACGCGAGGGTCACCTCAGCGTTGCAATTCTTTTAAATGAAGAATATGCACTGGTAAGCCTACTTAACAGAGTGGTAATCAAAACCTCTGTATCTCTTCAGCAGAATTCAAATTCTCATTGGGTTAATACTACACCCCAAAATCCACTTATCAATTCTCAAAAAATAGAATGATAAGTCTCCAACTCATTGTCGATTTATTGGCTCTCCTCAGCAGAGCAATAAATAACTCGTTTTCAGTGGGGTAATAAACTCCCCCAAAATCTTGATCAAATCACAAGTCTTATAACTCATCACTCCGATGATAAAACATATAGCAGTTCTCCCCTGTGAGACGCTATAATATTCTTTCCCCACAAATGTCACGTTAAAATTACACCTCTGACAAAATCAACTTATCGATTCTCGTCAATAGAACGATAAGTCCTCAAAATTGCCCTGATCGCAATATTTCTTCTGTCACGTTAAAATCACACCTCTGACAAAATCAACTTATCGATTCTCGTCAATAGAACGATAAGTCCTCAAAATTGCCCTGATCGCAATATTTCTTCTGTCACGTTAAAATCACACCTCTGACAAAATCAACTTATCGATTCTCGTCAATAGAACGATAAGTCCTCAAAATTGCCCTGATCGCAATATTTCTTCTGTCACGTTAAAATCACACCTCTGACAAAAATCAACTTATCGCTTCTCGTCAATAGAACGATAAGTCTTCAAAATTGCTCCGATCGCAATATCTCTCTTGCTAAGTTAAAACTACACCTCTAGCATTTATAGACTTCTTTCAGTGTTTAAAGCAAAACATAACACAGGAAGAATTCTATTAGTCAACCCTATTATGGGAGTATTCGTCCTCAGCAGTTTGAAACTTTCTAGAGTTGTCTTAAATGATAATAAAGAGAGTTCTCTGCAACAGAACCATTGTGGAGGTATATTCTAAGTCAGGAATACATCTCAGGCATTTCTCGTGACTTGTATTTAAAATCAAAAAATGATAAATGCAAGAAACAATGAGAAGTCAATATCACTTTTTATTCAAGAACCAAAAGAAAGTGATACAAAACAAACTTTGTTCTTGTCAAAAGAACATTACAGAAGCCAAGCTCACTCATGCATTAAATCAAAAGAGATGAGTTGAGCCTTGAGTTCAGCTAGCTCCGCCTCGTGGTTAGCTCGCACCATAGCTTCAGCCTTTGCTCGGAGTTCATCCTCGCTGGGTATGATGATGGCCGCCATTTCCTTTCTGACGTCTTCCAGAGCCTGAGCTTGTGCATGATACTCCAAAGTACTAGCTGCATTCTGGGTACTAAGGATGTTGACAATGCCTTCTTCGCGGGAGAGTTCAGCTTTCAATCGCAGGACTTCGGCTTCAGCTTCAACCAGTCTGTCCCGAAGCGAATTCATAGAAGCAGTTGAGCGTTCTAGTTCTTCTCGCTTCCGAGTGTTACGCTCACGAAGCTCTGCAATCTGACGCTCTTTTTCAGCTAAGTCCCGTTCTAGCGCCTCTCGGTGTATCACTTCAGCGACCTGAAGACTAGCCAAAGTGGACATAATTTGCGGCTGAAGGTCACTATGGCCCATGGTCTCGAAGCGTTGTAATTTCTCCTCCAAACGAAGGATAATCTCTGAGCAGCGTTCGAACCATTGAGTTTCGCCCACACTCCTGACCCCGTTTAAGCCTGCTTCCAGCAGAGGTCGAAAGGAGTTCAAAGTTCCTTGGCCATTCATCAGGGACTCAACTACCGTCTTCGCAAGACTGTTTAGATACACCAAGGAGATTTGAAGGAATTTAGGTGCATTAGCGAGACTGACAATTGCACCCGAAGATACCCCTTCAGCAGCTGAGATTGAGGCATTAAGATGATGACTAGCAGGCGATCCAGGTGCTGAAGCTGCAGAGGCGATTGAAATGTTCAATTGCGAAGGGCTTGAGGTCAAAGCCATCAATGCTTTCGCTTGAGAAGAGCTAGGCCCAGCCTCCGTTGGGGTGAGTGAGATCTTCATCACCGCTTTTGGTGAAGCAGCTACTACAGAAGAGTCAGGCAGGGGTTGCTCTTGCATAGGGGCTGATACCTGCACGAGCTGTTGTTCCGGAGGAGGAGTAGCGGCAGTGGTTTCAGGCAACGCTACAGGCGGAACAGTCGCCGTAGGAGAACCAGGTAAATGTTGCTCTTCTAAAGGAGCCGACACTTGCGCAGGTTCTTGCTCTAAAGGAGCAGCGGAAGTAGTCCCGAGAGTGGGTGAACCTGCACGAAAAAACGGTCGGAACGCAGAAAAAGCATGTGGAAGAAGTCGAAACAAACCAAGCTTACCGGTAAGATAAAAAGGAGTATAACCTGATGCTTTATCAGACGGGACCTTGGGAGCATCATCATCAAAAGTGGTGACGTCATCGAGGGAATCATGCTCATCGTCATCTTCACCTTCACCTGACATGTTACCAACATCGGCGTCCTCATCACCTCTATCTTCATCAGCTGCATCACCAGTTGGGGAGTCGTCATAATCAACTCGCTCCTCATCACCCGGAACAGCTGAAGACTCCGGAAGACTTGCACCAGCGGCTGGTCTTTTCATAAGTCCCGTTGTAGGACTAGGCATTAAATCATCAGCTTGTGACATTAATGCTGAAGGAGAAGGAGGTGGATTATCTTCGAGACCCCCTGGCTCCAACGCAGGAGACCTAGGAAGATCCATCACCGGAGCAGATTCTGCATCTGCAACCATTAATTCATCTTCTTCGTCCTCAGGAGGATGATAAGAAGAACCTTCGCCCGACAGAGCTGGACCATGAGAACGAAGTCCCGCTCTATGCGGCAGGCCAGCCACAGATGATTCCTGTGGTTCGTCATCTTTAGCAGCTTTAATGGCCTCAGCCATCAACTTGGATTTTTGTTGGCCTCTGGGGGGAGAATCCACCAGCAACTTTCGACGGATCTGCTTATCATACTGGCCAGCTTCATCAGCAGAAAGTTTTCTTTTCCCCGCTGCTCTTGTCATAGGAGGATCAGCCGCTCGTTGTTCTTCCACTGGAACGGGCTCAGCTCCTTGTTCCTCTTCCTGTTCGGCAGGCTGACTCTCGATGGATAGAAACTCATCGATCCCCCTCAAGCGAGACGTCTTAGACCCCTTTCTTGAATTATACATATGCCTAATGTCCTTCAGGCAAGATGTATTCAAGTTGAAGTTGGGAGTCTGAGAAGCAGCGTAATACCAATTGCAGAAGCTGATGGAGGTATAGGAATTAGCGGTTTTGTGGGGAAGCTTGAAGACGGCTTTGGTACAACCCGCTACAGAATAATACCAGGCCCTGGTTTGGGGCTTGCCGGCGGCGAAGCGGGGCGTCGGGCGGCGGTCAGAGCTCGGGTGCGGGGTGAGGGCGGTCGGGTTCAGTGCTTGAGGAAGAAGAAGAAGGAGAGAGGGTGGTGATGTTGGCCGGCGGGGTTGGGGAAGAAGAAGGAGGAGGTTTAGATCTGGGAGTGGTTTCTTTGGAGAGGAGAGAGAAAAAGAAATTGAGAGAGAGAGAAAAGTACGATGGAGAGAGAGAGAGAAACGGTTGAATTATTAAAGAGGGAGAGAAAATCACGTGACTAAGAAAGGTAAGAATTTAAACGTGATTTTGGGGATTAATTGGGGAGATTATGGATAGAATTCAAATGGAAGAGAAGATTATGGGAAATCAAATTAAAATAATTATTAACAACAACAACAATAATAATATCAATAATAAAAACCAAATATTAATTTTAAAAATTTTTATCGTAACAATTAAATTTATAATTAGCAAAACCATTAAAATAAATATAAAACTAGATTTTTAAATCATAGTATATTCTAGAAAATCAAAAAAAAAATAATATAAATACTCTTTTTAAAATAATAATTTAATATTTAAAAATACCGAAAAATTATTTTAACTAGTATCAAAATTCACGGTCCTTACATTCTACCCCCCTTAAAACAAATTCCGCCCTCGGAATTAAACCCAAGGACAGAGATATGGAACGAGAGTTGGTACTCGCAAATCAACGAGACAAGAAACAAGAATTAAGAATCAAGTGGAAGTTACGAGACAAGAAATAGTAGAAAGATCCGGAGTCAAAAAGTGATAAGGTAGGGATGAAAGGAAATCTATCAAGAAAATAGGATAAGGCTCAAGGATAGTCTCACGGATGAAAAATGATATGTATTTGAATCGTCCAATACATTCTTACTAGTGGGAAGTCGGGACCGTGATCGAGACCGTGACCTGCATGGGCCACCACTAAAACTTGTCACGCCCCGCTTCCCAAAATACCAGGGAATCGGGACGCGAGCAAGCCCGCGACGTATTAGACTGAGAAGAGATAAGTGCTAGACCCCGTCTTCTCAATCTAATACGCTAAGCGTCTGAAAATAAATACAATGCGAAGTCGCAGGTCCCCGATCACAATCAGCAAGAATATAATAGACAACTCAGAATAAAGAAATATCATATCACAAATGGGATAACATCCGAGACATAAAATTCGGGTCAACATGCCCTTATACAAAACTGAACAAAAGAATACTGGAGAGATACAAAAATACATCGATCAATAGAAAAAGAATGAACTACAAAAGTAAAGTGGAACCATCAAGAATAGGCTTCGACTCCTTTTTCTGCTCCGTCTACAAGGCACTCCTGCTGAGGATCTTCCGGCTCCTGGCGATCTCCTAGCTGAACCTGTTTTTCTCCTAATTCTGACGTACACCAGAGAAAACAGGTGTACGTCAGGTGCATAGCGCATGGCAAGACCCGACCCCCACAAAGAAAAATAGGAACGGTCGAATGACCAATGCAATAACAATAATAATAAATAGAAACATGCAACTGGAATACTAACAAGCTAGATGCAATCCATCACTAGAGTATAACGATCATAAGAATCCATAATCATCCGTGTAACAAGGACATACCCCTAGATAGAATTAATACTTAAAAATCTACAACTCGAGACGTAGTACGTCGAGCGAAATAATCCAAACAAGGAAACCCTCATGTATATACCATATGTCTCAAATTGCAGATAATTAAATATTAATCCCGATCTATGTATGAAAAGAACAACACTGATCTACATCTCAACAAAACTAACAAAGTCCACCATAAAGCACACAAGCAGATTATTCTTGTTTTACATGTTATTTGAATTGGGGAAGAATATTTTGATGTATATAATCGGGTCCCCGTAAAGTCGTCCAGGGGCCGCCTTCAAGTCAAGTATTGGCCCTCTGGCCCATGTACAATCACAATATCACATCACCTCAGACCCACCCCAGCGCGAAACGATTCACTGGTGCGAGCCTGGAAATAAACAATAACATATCTGTTAACATGAACCAAGACTTTCCCATCCCAAGTCCAAGTTAACAACTCATATCTCACGGGTCACTACGGTCAAGCCATACTCGCGATTCTCAACTATAACATGGAGCAATCACCGCGGGAGTAGGAGTAGTGCTAATCTCTCCAAACGGCCATGTAATCCCAAGGGGATTTTCCTTAATCGAACCTTGCACCAACAACGTAGCCGAGTATAACGCTCTGCTATTAGGCATGCAATTTGCTGAAGAACTTGGTATTCAGCATCTTGAAGCTTACGGTGACTCTCAACTCATCGTTAATCAAGTTCGAGGAGAATATGAAGCACGTCATGAGGATTTGATCCCGTATTACTTTGCAGTGCTAGAGCAGGCTCAAAAGTTCGAGGGCTTCTTTATCGAATACGTGCCACGAGCTCAGAATGCTTACGCAGATGCTCTAGCCTCCTTGGCAACCTCATTAGCGTTGCCACCGAAGACTGAAACAACGATTCCAGTCGCGGGACGGAAATTATACTTTTCTAAAATTCCTACAGAAGAAAACCTAGACGAGACACCGTCAGAAGAAGTCTGTACAACTTCTATGGAGTTTGAATCCAGGGATTGGCGATTCCCGTACATCGACTATGCCGTATATGGAATTCTACCCGATGATCCTAAGGAAGCGGCCTCTATCAAACGAAAGGCCCTCCGATTCTATTACGACGCAGTCTCTCAAGTCCTGTATCGTAAATCGCATGATGGAGTTTTGCTTCGATGTCTCTCCCGGAAAGAAGCAAAAGAGGCCCTCAAGGAAGCTCACGGCGGAATGTGCGGAGCTCATCAGCCTGGAGCTAAGTTAGGAGATCGCCTCCGACGCATCGGCTATTATTGGCCGAAGATGTTTTCAGACGCGGTTGACTATGCTAAACGTTGTCACGCGTGCCAAATTCATGGGGATTTCATCCACCAAGCACCAGGAAACTTACACCCCACATCAGCGACTTGGCCATTCGAAATGTGGGGTATGGATATCGTCGGACCGATTTCCCCTCTGACATCCAAGGGACACCGGTTCATTCTAGCCGTGACCGATTATTTCTCCAAATGGGCGGAGGCAATCCCGTTGAAAGAAGTCAAGACTTCAAATGTAATCAAGTTCATCAAGCATCACGTTGTCTACCGTTTTGGAGTCCCGAGGCGAATAGTTCACGACAACGGGACACAATTCGTCAGTTTTGGGTTCCAGAGATTTTGTGATAAATTCAGAATCCAAAGTGTTGCATCTACGGCTTATTATCCGCCAGCAAATGGTCTTGCAGAAGCCTTCAATAAAACCATAGTGAAGCTTCTCAAAAAGTTTGTTTCTAAAAGCCGGCGCGATTGGGATGAAAGACTGGGTGAATGTCTTTGGGCTTACCGTACTACAGTAAGGACCTCCACAAGAGCTACGCCATTCTCTTTGGTATATGGCTGCGAGGCGGTACTACCATTGGAAATTCAGATTCCTTCTCTGAGAGTCGCTATCACAACTGGACTAACAGAAGAAGAAAAGCATCAACGACGTCTACAAGAACTTGAAGCCTTAGACGACAAGCGACTTCAAGCTCAACAACAGATCGAGTTGTATCAAGCCCGTATTTCCAAAGCCTACAACAAAAAGGTTAAGGAACGGATTTTCAAAAAAGGCAATTTAGTGTTAGCCAACAGGCGACCCATGGTGATGACACACAAAACCAAAGGGAAATTCAATCCTAAATGGGAAGGGCCCTTCGTAATAGAATCAGTCTATTCGAATGGAGCATATCGCCTCATCAATCAAGAAGGAGACAGGCTCATGATGCCAATTAATGGGAAGTTTCTTAAGAGATACTTCCCGTAAATCATGTGGCCCCCTAAACCCCAACCAAATCAGGCAGGGGGTTGCCCATTCATAGTGTAATTCTATCTTGTATTTTGTCATGTTAACACTACACCTCTGACGATTGTAATTTGATGGAATTATTCTAAATAAATAATAAAGGGAATTTCGATAGCATTTGCATTATTTTCTATTGTCTTGAACCAGATTGCAGCAAAAAAAAAGATGATAAAGAGCAAAAGTGATATTGTTTTCATTCAATGTTGTTAATCTAAACACAAAATGAAAACAATACAAAATTCCTTAATCAAGAACAAGTCAAGAGCTAAACATCAGGCTTCATTAACTTGAGGGTTTTTAGCCTAGACTTGAAGGCAGAGAGTTTCTCCCGGTGAGCCGCTCGGACTTGTCCCTCGATCTCCTTCCTGAGTTCTGCTTCAATAGGAAGGGTAGCAACAATGTCCTTACGAGTCTGCTCAGCTACGTGGAGTGTACGACAAAATTTCGTATAAATTTGGCCACTTTTATGCTCAAGCTCTTTCCTGACATCCTCATAGTGGGCCAATTGGGCTTTCTTCTGGTCCAACTCGGCTTCTAATCGAGCGATAGTCTCTTCGATACCGCGGATATCAGAAGCAACACGTTTGATTTTAGCATATGCTTTAGAGTGTCGCTTCCTTAAAGCTGATATGCGGGCTTTTTTATCAGACAGGTCCTTGCGAAGAGCCCCTGGGTGATTCGCCCTCGAGATTATCGCCAAGGAAAGAGCCGGCTCCACTTCAGAATCTAAATTGGTGCGCTGTAGCTCCCTGAAAGCTGCTAATTCTATCATCAAAAGAGTGATTCTCCCTTGGCAGTGTTCAGTCCAGGATGCATCCCCTTTAGCTTTGATGTCGTCCAAACATTGATTCAAGACGGATTCACAGTCTTCAAGAGAAGCCCCCTCAACACTGACCATATTAATAATTGTTTGCATCCAACGTTCCAGTTTATCAATTGATTTCTTCAGAGCCCTTGAGCGTGGAGGAGGAAGAGTTGGATAGATTGGATCCGTATGATCATCCGGAACAGGTGTTAGAGCAACTTCAGAAGAAGGACCCTCTTCAGCCCCATCGTCTTCAGGAACTGAGGGGATCGATTGAGGCATTTCGTCCTCTCCATCAGTGAAACGCCCAACGAGCGCAGACTTCATCGCATCCCCCATTATTTTGGTTACGAATTCTCCTGTCATACTCACCTTGCTCAGCAGCAGAAAGAGCCTTCTTACCCGATCTTAAAGAATGAGGTTTAGGAGCAGACTCTTCTGCAGGAATCTCCTCAGTTGTCTTATCTTCGGGAGAATCGGCAATTGGTTTTCCCTCTTCGATCCCCATAGGAACCTCTTCCTCAGAAGGTTCTATGGTGGACAAGTCCTGAGGAGCTTCAACGGCTCCGATCGCTTCCTGTTCACAAGATAGGTACTCTTCCATCCCTGGCAGACGAGTACTCGCAGAACCACTCCGTGAATGGTACAATTCCCGAATCTCGTTTATACATGAAGTATAAACGTCATATTCCGGAATCCGAGAAGCTTCAACAAACCACTGGCGGAAATCCATAACAGTAGAGCAGCCGGGTGGTGAATGGGGTAAAGTGAATTGCGCATGGGTTCCCCCGGCAGAGAAAAAGTACCATGCGCGAGCTCCTTCGCATAAATTCCCAATCTGAGCTAACGCCGGGTTAGGATTGCCAACATAGAGTTGGTCATATCCAAACTGTCTGGCGAACCGAGAAGGCATGTAAGGCTCGATTACGCACTTCTCCCGTGAGCGATAGACCAGGTAGCCCAACCTGATCATAAGAAGCCAGCTGAATGCACCCTCTTCCAAAGAGAAGGGCAATGCAACACGAACCAGGCCACTAAATATGTATATGGCATTGGTACACGTGGTTGAGGAGCCTTCCCAGCTTTCTTCTTAGTAGCTTTGACTCCTGAAGCACTGAGAAGTTCTGAAGTCAATACCCTCAGGCCGTTCTGAATACAGCCAACCATAGCAGTAAGGAGGCTCACAGGTCTCCCATGCGCTAGCAAAATAGCTGGGTACACAACCTCAGCTAATATTGATTCTATTGGTCTTGACGGTATCACACACCGCTTCAACTAAATCATGAAGAAGCCTGCAAGTAGAGCCGTGTCAGAGATAGGAACTGTGGCTTGGTAGTGGAAACTTTCAAATTCGACACCAGCTTCAAAATCATCCTCGGCATGCTCTGTCTTATAAGTAGCACCAGGAGCCTTAATCCGAGCCTTGGCGTCCTTAAGTGAGACAACTGCGACACGGGATACGGCCACATCTTTCCGATTTAAGTTTGGGAAGAGGTAGTCTGCCCAGGTGGTATGCATAATGCCCCCTCCACGCATCCCAAAGACTTGGGCACATATGTGGAAGTGGCACATCAATTCCCAGAAAGTAGCATAAATTTCCGGGTGTGCCACCTTCAGTAGAGAAAGCTCCTCGGTGGTGAGGATGAACTCCTCATAGGGTGTTTTTCCGAGCGACAGCCCCGATACTGCCTGCATCTCATGAAGAGCAAAACCTAACTCTCCAGCAGGCGTAAAGAATGTGCAGCTGTCAGGGTTATATTTCTCCAACATAGCGAAGAAATTATGAAGACTCTGCACGACTCCCCGTCGCGTAGCTAACACAGGAACTGTGAGACCCGATTGAGCGAGCGAGTCTTTAAGCTCTTCAAGAACAAAGTCAACCATACGGGTCCACCAACCTCCTTCTCCGGAACAGATCCATCCAGGAGATCTGAACGTCTGGGTAGAGAATTCACCCTGAATTGCAAGGAATTGGCGGATAAAAATGTTCGCTGGACGTGGCACCTCCGGAACCAGCTCCTTCTTCTCGAACAAACCAGGTCTTAACCCCTTGAGTTGTTCCCCGATTTGTGTACGAGCTCGTCGACCAAATCCAAGCGACACGTTCTCCTTCTCCTTTACTATGTCGAAGGTCAAACCCCGACGGCAGCTCACATTCAAGAAATAGGAGAGTGGGTACATCCTCTTCATGTTTGGGAGAAATAAAGAGCGATTATCAGCTCTCCACAGCAGCTTCGAATCTTCCACATATGTGAGATGGTCATCGACTGGTATGCGATCTCCAAATATGAAGGCTGGTTTAGGAAACTGGGCATGACTAACAGGGGTCTCCAAGTCTAAGTCAGTTATCAAAATCCTGAGAGTAGAGCATTGAGGGAATTTGATCGTTTCCGCTCTTTCCGAATCAGGAAAAGTACACAATGGAATCATGTTCTGAAGATTGAATAATTCATTCGGGTCAGGTCCACCAATATATCCGAAATGGTGCTCTTGTGAAAGCGGCACGTTTGGGAGAAACACTGCACAATCAAAAGCAGAAGTTAGCAGCTAGAAGCGAGCTATCGACATAAAGACAGAGTCTGAAACACAAAGGAGTAAAGCCTTGTGTCAAAATTTCCAACGCGAAGGTCGAGCCTCGCGTCAGAAGTCTCCAACGCGAGGGTCGAACCTTGTGTTGAACAAGTTGAACGCGAGGGTCGAGACCCATAGGGTATCCCAACCCCGCGTTTTCATTGAACGAGTCATCTTCCTCGTTATCAAGAACCCATCTAGGGTTTTCAAAGAACTTGCCAAGGCAAGTTATTTCGGTCAGCACTCACCACGACAGGGAGGCCCCTGCGGCGGCGATGTCGACGGCAAGGTTCTCGCATGGACAAGAACACCGCCGGTGTTCTCAGCCGACGGCGTGTCGGAAGTCGCTTCAGCGACTTTCTTGGAGTTCGAACCCATCCTCCGAGGCGCCATTGATGCAGTCGATCGGAGGAAACTCCTTTGAACGAGGGAGACGAAGCTCGTCAGAGATCTCGCCGTAACCAAACGAGAGTTCTCGTTCTTGGAAATAGCCGAAAGTTTTGAAAGTCAAGTGACTTTTGATTTGACCATTCAGGTCTATTTATAACAGCCGCCAAGCTGTTAAGATGGCACGGGATTCTAGGAGTGAATCCCAACCATCTCCAAAACGCGAAGCTCACTATCGCGTTCAATTTCCCAAGTGCAAAGCTTGAGCCAGCGTCACGAAATCCCGAACCTCGCGTTTCAAACATCAAACGCGAAGGTCACTTCAGCGTTGCAACTCTTCTACATGTAGAACCTGCACTTGTGAGCCCTCTTAACAGAGTGTTAGTCAAAACCTCTATATCTCTTCAGCAGAATCTAAATTCTCGTTGGGTTAATACTACACCCCAGAATCCACTTATCAATTCTCATTAATAGAATGATAAGTCTCCAACTCATTGTCAATTTATTGACTCTCCTCAGCAGAGCAATAAATAACCTGTTTTCAGCGGGTTAACAAAATTCCCCAAAACCTTGTTCAAATCACAAGTATCACAATTCATCGCTCCGATGGTAAAACACTTAGCAGTTCTCCCCAGTGAGACGCTATAATATCCTTCCCCCACAGTTGTCACGTTAAAATCACACCTCTGACAAAATCAACTTATCGATTCTCGTCAATAGAACGATAAGTCCTCAAAATTGCCCTGATCGCAATATTTCTCCTGTCACGTTAAAATTACACCTCTGATAAAATCAACTTATCGATTCTCGTCAACAGAACGATAAGTCCTCAAAATTGCCCTGATCGTAATATTTCTCCTGTCACGTTAAAATCACACCTCTGACAAAAATCAACTTATCGATTCTCGTCAATAGAACGATAAGTCATCAAAATTGCCCAGATCGTAATATTTCTCCTGTCACGTTAAAATCACACCTCTGACAAAAATCAACTTATCGATTCTCGTCAATAGAACGATAAGTCATCAAAATTGCCCAAGAAATTACTCCTCAGCAGTTTGAAACTTTCTAGAAGTATCTTAAACGATAATGAAGAGAGTTCGTTGCATCAGAACCATTGTGGAGATCTATTCTAAGTCAGGAATACATCTCAGGTATTTCTCATGAGTTGTATTTAAAATCAAAACATGACAAATGCAAGAAGCAAGGAGAAAATAATATCACTTTTTATTCAAGAACCAAAAGAAAGTGATACAAGACAATCTTATTCTTATCAAAAGAACATTACAAGAGCAAAATTCACTCACGCATCAAGTCAAAAGAAGTGAGTTGGGCCCTAATTTGGTTTAGCTCCTCTTCGTGAGTGGTTCGTACCATAGCTTCAGCCTTTGCCCGGAGCTCTTCCTCGTTGGGTACGATGATGGCCGCTGCTTCATTCCTGGCTTGTGCCAAAGCTCGAGCCTGCGTATGATATTCCAAAGCGCCAGTGGTATTTTGGGTGCTAAGGATATTGACAACGTTTTCTTCACGGGAAAGTTCAGCCTTTAAGCGCAAGACTTCGGCCTCAGCCTCGACAAGTCTATCACGAAGCAAATTCATAGAAGTTGTCGAGCGTTCTAACTCTTCTTGCTTCCGAATATTACGCTCATGAAGCTCTGCAACTTGACGTTCTCTTTCAGCCAAGTCCCGCTCTACCGCCTCCCGGCGAGCCACTTCTGCAACCTGAAGACTGGCCAGAGTGGACACAATCTCTGGCTGAAGTTCTTTCTGGCCCAGGGCTTCGAAGCGTTGTAATTGCTCTTCCAAGTGGAGAATAATTTATGAACAGCGCTCGAACCACTGAATATTGCCCACACTCCTGACTCCATTCAGGCATGCCTCTAAAAGTGGTCGGAAGGAATTCAAAGTCCCCCGACCATTCACCATGTAATCGACTACTGTCTTCGCGAGGCTATTTAGATATACCAGGGAGATCTGGAGAAATTCAGGTGCGTCAGCGAGACTAGAAACCATAGCCGATGACGCCCCTCTAGCCATCGAAGTTAGTGCAGGGGATCCTGGCGCTGAAGCTGCGGAAGCGGTAGAAATATTCAATTATGAAGGGCTTGAGGTTAAAGCCATCATCGCCCTTGCTTGAGATGTGCTTGGCTGTGCCTCTGTTTGAGTAAGCGAGATCTTCAGCAATGCAGTAGGCGAAGCAGCTACAGTAGTCTCAGGCAACACTACAGGTGTAGGCTGCTCTTGCAAAGGAGCCGACACCTGCACGACCGCCTGTTCCAGAAGAGAAGTCGTAGCAGTAGTTTCAGGCAACGCTACAGGTGAAATAGTCGTCGTAGGAGAGCCAGATAAATGTGGCTCTTGTGGAGGAGCCAACACTTGCGCAGGTTCTTGCTCTAAAGGAGCAGCTGAAGTAGTTCCGGGAGTGGGTGAACCTGCACGAAAAAATGGTCGGAACGCAGAAAAAGCATGTGGAAGAAGTCGAAGGAAACTAGACTTACCGGAGATGTAAAAAGGAGTATAACCTGATACTTTATCGGATGGGACCTTGGGAGCATCATCATCAAAAGTGGTGACGTCATCAATGGAATCATGTTCATCGTCATCTTCACCATCACCTGACATGTTGCCAACATCAGCGTCCTCATC